TAACAAAAGACACTCCTCCTTATGTGGCGTAATTGAAAGAATGTTTGGAGTGCGGAAGAAGAAACTAGTCATGCTACGTGATGTGCCAATATATTCATACCAAAACATGTGCAAATTGTAGCGGCCACGATGAAGCTCCACAACTGCATTTAATGACACCATTCTCGAACAGATGTTGACTTCAACATGGCCGACAATGACAACTTGTAGGTCCCATCAAAAACTTTTGAATATATAATAGGATAATCTATATCACAACTAGAAGTGGAATTACATGAATATTACACCCAAGATAGCGAAGGTGCCGCGAAAATGATTGATTTAAGAGAGTGGATTACATATGTCATTGTTGGATGTTGATTGTATTCTTCTTCTTTATTTTATAACGTTTATGTCTATTTTATATCACTTGTATTATTGGTATTTTAAATATTAGAAGTTTTATATTGTTTGTAATTATTTTTTCTCATTTTTTGATTCTTTTTCGTATTTTTTTTGGGTTTGTGAGGTCTATGATGAGACATTTGACCTTTTGGGTTCTTTTCAATGACCCAATAGTCGTTGTTGGTTGGTGTCACAAGTGAAATCTTTATAAAGACAATCAAGCTCCTCTTTTCTTTTCGATACTGGGGATTTGAGATACTTCTGGATGGCTTGTTTGGTCATTGTTGGTTTGTGTCACATTTCAAATCCTGATAGAGAAAACCATGTTCCTCTGTTCTTTTTTATGCTCAGGTTTTTAAAGTACTCATGGATTATTTTTTTTTGGCGATATGCATATGCGACACACATGAGTCTAGTATTAAGTGAGCTAAATGAAACCAATAACCCCTGTTTTATAAGGTTTGCTTTCTTCTTATTATGTCATTTTTGGTGGGCTTGATATACTTAATTTTCTGAGACCCCACACCTGCATGAAAATGTAATTGACTACTATTTTTGTCAAATTATAAAGTCCATATTTATTTTATGTTATATCGATTATTGATATTTTAGCTATTGTAAGTTTTATGTTATTAGTTTTTTTAATAATTCAGGAAATATGAGTTCTAGGATTTCAGGGACTTCCTGATGAGTGCCCCACCACTGTAAACAACAAACAACAAACTTTCCTATTGACGTCACGTTGGGCACATAACTACGGGAGACAGCTGCACATGTGTCCTCAGGGCTTCACGGAGAAGTGTGACTTCTTCTGGTGGGCAGACAGTTTGATAGATTCCATTGCCGATAGTAATCGGAGTTGGATGGTATCCATGAAGAATGACATAGCTTGTGACAGACGCGATATGGATTTTAAAATTAATATTATCATATTTTTAATTGTAATTTTAATAAATTTTTCTCATTTTTAGCAAATTTGATACTTCTTGTTGATTAATGTGTGCATCTTATTTTTTGTAATGTTATAAAGTAATTTTTTGTTTCTCAAGTATAAAATATATTACTATGACAGTTCTGCTACAAACAACATTACTACACAAATGTGAATGATCATTTATCCAGAAACAATAGCAAATCAATTGTTTACAACAACACAAATCAAACAACTAACCAATTTATTTAGACTAGCTGCTAATCAATAATTTATCTGGTGATCAGTTACATATCAACGACTTATTAAATAAGTTGTAGCTGCCCCAAACAAACTATAAGAATTGAGTTTCAGTGGCAGAAATGAGCTGGGTTCAGGGTTTATTTGGGGCAGTTGTTAATTATTTATAATCTGCTTATAAACAAATTATTATGATAATCTGCAGATTATTAGAATAAGCTGACTTATTATTTGGGGCAACTTATTCATAACAACTTACTGGGAGCTGTTGTTGGATAAATGACCATTTTAACCCTGTTTCGTTAAGCTGTTTGCAACATAACTATTTATGGAAAATTATAGATAAAACAGATGTCTCAAAATATTACAGTTCAGTTACAAAAATTAAAATACACTGCTAAACACTTTGTGAGTATCAAAACAAATAAAATGAGAAGAAATACAATTATAATAACAAGTAAGATTATTAAAAGGTTTAGTTTAAAACTCTGACGTCGTCTCTCCTCAGCGGCATTGTACTCTTGGGAAACCATCTTAACACGATCACTGTCGGGCTTAACACGATCATTGCGACCTGGGAGTACGTTGGAATGTCGGCCCAACGGAAGAAACTGCATCTTGCTGAAACACCCCTATAACAACCGTAGAACTGTCTCCCATTGCTATGTTGCTGGCTTGACGTAAGTAAGGGAGCCGACAGTCTGCAGTAACACAACACAACTCGAGAAGTCCCTGAAATCCTATAGCTCATACTGCTACTGAGATAAAACAATCAAAATATATAATATGTTATATCACAAAACTAAATAAAAAACTAAAAAAAGGAAGAAAAAAAAACTAAAACTAAACAATGTAAAATAAATAATTTAAAACAAAATGCAAATTCATACTACACTGAATTACATCCTAAATGAAAGGTATGAAATTCTTAATAAAACCTAAAAATACAAATCCATACTTCATTGGATTACATCCCAAAATAACATATTATAAATGAAGAAGTGTGGTTGAATCAACATCTAGTTATGGCATCTGCGATAGACTCCCTCAAAGCAGCCATCTCGTCTGCACCCTCACCGTCCCGAGTTTCATATTCAATTTGAATTTAAGCTTGTCGTAATCTCTTACAGTCAATTATTTAAACAACTTAGCAATATTTTGCCAACCTTCCTTATTAAAATACGTGGTTGGTATGTTCTCTAGTTCAATTTTCTTAATACATAAATCACAAAATATATTTGTAACTTCTTTATCCCACATTGCGGAGGGACCCCCTTCAGTCGCCTTAGACATTGAACTATAGAGAACAAAGGAACACCAGTTCCACAACCTATGAAATTATCCTTTGCAATTTAAAAAAAAATAACATATTATAAATAAACATCGACAACCAACATCATTTCCACAACGTTCCAATTTACAAAAAAAAAAAAAAAGTAAACAAGAGATTTATGTGGTTCAACCAATGAACTACATCCACATAAGATAGTCCACAAAAGTTTTATTAAGAAAATTTGTAATATTACATAGCTACGAAATTACATAGCTACGAATAAGCTTAGCTACGAATAAGCTCTCAAATATATAAGCTTACTACAACATGCTCTCAACTAACAAGCTCCATATATATAACACTCGGTCAGCCTTTAAAAAAAAATGGAACCAAAAATTGAATTTTGATGGATTTTCTCTGTGTTCAATTTCAAGAGGAGTGTCAAATGCAACCAAGCAAGCAACAGGGCTGGCAAATGATTGAAGATAAAGGGACATGCGTACCCCAACACCTCTTCCAGATAAGCTTGCCAAATTTCATAAACTTCTTTTTTGGTAATGAAGAAACGACTTAAAACACTTCATAGGAACCATAAACATCAAAGGGAGAACACCACAACATGAAATTCTTCCTCCCTTTTCTCCCTTTGCTGATAATAAAAGTCCACCAACTAATATATAAGAACACAACATGTTTTCATGCTTCCACCCTTTTCATGTATGCTAAAAACCGAATGTCATTTGAAAGCCTAATATAAAACACAAAGCCTCACATATGCATACGAACAATAAACCAAAAGTAGGTACAACCAGTAAATTCAAATCCCTGTATCAGAAAGACCAAGCAAGCATTAGCAAATCCCTGTATCGGAAAGACCAGGCAAACATTGTCATTATGTATTGTACTTAACTTCCTAATGCTATAACCATTGCCATTCTTAACTTAAACCGAAAGATAAGAGTATGAAATCCTCTCAATGACAATGTAGATATGAGTTTGAAACATTAGACATACAAGCTATTAAACTTGCATAAGAGAATAAACAATATCGTAATAATTTGAGATACATTTTCATGAACCAAGCCTCAATCTTCAATTATATAACCAAATCAATTTCCATAGCTTGCATCAAAGTTATAATCCATACCAAGGACAATGACATTTGCCACCAATGGGGATTACAATGTATACATATATATGCAGCACATAAACAAGAATTAATAGCAGAATTTTCATAAACCAAGCTCATACCTATGTTTCCTAAAAACAAGAATTAATTGCAGCTCCTATAAACAAGAATTAATTGCAGCTCTTAAGCATTTTCATGAACCGAACAACATTATTCCTCTTTCCATGAAAAATACTTGCTTTTCCAATTGAAATAATAAGAAAAAGAGTAAAAAAAATGAAACAACCGAAAAAAATCAAAACGAGAAGCAAAAATCAAAACGAAACTCGGCCCCGATGTAAGGAATCCATTCTCCAAACTTTTCTTCACGCCTGACAAAAAATGAAATGAATTATAGGGCATAGAACTATTTGCATTGTTCGAGTTCAAAATAAAATGAAGAAGATGAAAATCTTCGGTCAAGGAAGGAAAAAAAAGCAAGGATTGTGGTCCGATCTCCACAAAAAACCATTAACACCAAAATAAAATGATGTTCGATCATCTACAAAGAACCATTCACGCTCACCGACGTTCGATCGCTCTAGAGGAAACATTCCTTACGAATTGACGGTGAGGGAAAACATACCTTGCGAATCAGAAAAAAAAAATCGAAAGGAATACAGTTCGATCTCCTCTAGGGTGACAAATCCAGAGAGGGAGAGTGCGAGGGAGAATAGAGGTAACTAGAGCAATGTTACAAGCTAAACGCGGGACGCAGGTTTTCTCCCGCATCAAACGCTCTTAAGAAATTTCGATAAGCTAATGCACTGCGGCAGGGATAATCCGCACGAACGCGACTTCCAAACATCAAGGCGGCGTTTTGAAAATGCCGCCGCACCTAAATAAGCTGTCCCAAACGGGCCCTAAGTTTATGGGGGGTTATTTTGAAATATTTGATGTTTGAGTGATTAATTTGTTATTCATAAAGTTTTAAATGGTGTGTAGAAAAAATAAAAAAAAAACCCTTAAAATATTGAATTAGAATGGTTTTCTCTTATACCAATTCCATCCCTGCATCTTCGCCACTCCCTTCCCCGCTCCCCCAAATTTCTCATCTAGGGCACACTGGGCCTAGGGCATAAGGTCGGAAAACAGACAGCTCCGAGTTCAACAGAATGGATTTGTTACCCACGGAGACACAGTCTCTCAGCCGGCGTCAGGGTTTTCGGTCCCTGAAACTGGTGAATATATCCATGGACGATCTACTGCCCGAGGTGCCGGTTGGCGTAGACTACGGCGTCCTTGAGAACGGCTTAACTTACTACGTCCGATGCAATCCCAAACCGCGAATGCGGGCAGCACTTGCACTCGCCGTTAAGGTCGGGTGAGTCAATTGGTTGCCTTTTCTTCTCTTGCAGTTGTTTTGTTTTCGTTCTTTTATAATCTATACCGAGGGTTTTCTCGGTGGCGACTATCCTGTTTTGCTGATGTGCTGGGTGGAGTCTGATTGTGTTTACGTCCTCAGCTGGCAGCGAAATAAAATCGCACTTAAATATGGAGGCGGCCTCCTTTTTTGTTTTTTCTGCTTGTTGCTGGATGGGTGGGATCGAGCTGGCGTGTTCCTTCTGTTCCTTTAAAGTGATGTATTTTCAGGCTTTGATGACGATCTCTGGATATTTCTGATAGCATTGATCTATAGAATCAGCTGTTGATGAGCTTCTATTTACAGCTAGTTTACTTGATATGCTCCATGTTAGCAGTATGCAGGCTAAACAACACTAAAACAGAAACAAAAAATGGTACAAGATGTAGAGAAGTAAGATAGCTCTGGCGAATTTTAGAACTGATGAAACTACTAAGAAATATGAATAGAGGAATAAGATGAAGTTGAGAAATACCGAACTGGATTTTGATTTTACCTGCTATTTTCTTCTCTAATACATTACCGATAACTCATTCCCCACTCTCACTTCCTTTTTCAGACCAAATATAAAGAAGTCATTTGGCCATTATTTTGAAACTAGAAAAATAAAATTCTCATCTCGTTTCTCACACTCCTTAAACAGCACACCCCTTACACCTAATCCACATTGTAGTCCTTGACCCAAAGAAGGGGTTTTCAGTTTTGTCCTATAGATGGGACCATGGGCGGTGTTGCCTTTGCATTTTTTCACTTATGTGGATGCAACCTATGTTTGTTTAGGTGAGTTCACTCCCTTCACCTTTAAAAATGATATTGACCTCAAGTTCTAGGTCATACATGCAGGAGTTTGAGTAGTTTTGTGTTGGAAATTTAGGTTGCATCCTCCAGCGGGAGATATGTCAAGAGTTACAGATAGCGGCTAGTTCAACCATGGTTTCTTTATTTCAGGATTTAGTGGGAAGTGTGATGGTGTGGAGCAGATCATTGCGATAAATTTTTTTCGGAGACACATGGAAGAATGAATTATGCGGGGCTTGGCCAATTGAACCAGTTAGGCCAATCGGCTCAGCTGAGGGCTTTGTCCAACCCCTATAGGACGACACAAAAATTCATGTGGAGGGAACTATCTACCCCTTTCCCCTTATTCTATTTCCTTTTTCTTTACTTTTGCTCTATATATGCGCTGTTTTGGTGCTTTGGGGTTCAGTTTTGTGTTTCTTGATTTCAGAGCTCCTGTCGCAAGGCATCTCTTCCCTTGATAGGGCTGTATCCGAGGATGGGTGGTGCTTCGGTTGAATCCTGCTTCAAGGTGATGATTATCTCGTTAATCCCTCACCATTCGACACCTTCTCGGCTGCTGTCCAACGTCCTTGCACCCTCCCTGTCATTGCACAGTGTCCCTGCATCCTCCTCGTTGCCAACCAACCTCTCCCGCACCCATCCAGTCGTTGCTCAACGTCCCTGCAACCTTCCCGTGACCGACCAACCTCTTCCCACCCATCCAGGTGCTGCTCAGCATCCTTTCATCCCTCTCGTTGCTGACCTGCCATCCCTGCACCCTTCCTATAGCCGCCCTACCCTCCCGCTTCCTTCCTTGATTCCGCTCTTACTTCCCTGCTTCTTTCCAGACACCTCCTAACACCCGCTCTTGCTACTGCATCTTACCTACCCTCCACCTGATTGCGGTCATAGCACCACAACCCTTCCCCACACTTGCTGACTAGCTGTAAGTCATCACCGTCGCCTTCGCCAAAGAGCACCGTTTGTATTCGTGTCATTTTATTTATAATTTTATGAACCCTTGTTGTTTTTGTTTGTAAGTTCTAGCAATAATAATCATATTTTCTTTTTTTTAGATTATTTTTGATATCATTTGATATCAAAGCTAGCCTAATTCTAGTCCTCCCATCTTAGGTTTTTCTATCGTTCACCTTAACTCTCTGCAAAAAAAAAAGTTATCTTGTATATCCTCAACCACCCTATCCAAACCCAAAACCTAATCATGCCACTACGAAGATACATGCTAAAAATTACTCAGGATGAGATATAATGGGAGATCCATCGGCTTCTACATAGGCTCATGGAAATCGATGACAAAACTTAGCAGGAGATTACCCCTTGACCATGATCTGGAGAGTCAAAGCGGAGAAAAAGACGAGGATCTGAATCCGTTCCACAGAGAAGACATAAACGATGAGGAATTATTACCATACTGGTTTTCGAAATTCATTATTAGAGGAAATTGAGAGAGGAGTCAACATATGGAGGACATAGGGACTTCAACATCAAAATGGATCAACCAGAGTTAGATGGGATTATGGATCCATATGAGTTTATTAACTGGTTGAATCTGTTGAACGAATCTTTCAATATAATGAAGTGTCAGAGGATAAGCGTGTGAAATTAGCAGCCATTAGATTAAAAAGAACGCCTCATTGCGGTGGGAGGATTTATAGAGACAGGAAAATGGAAGACAATGATAAGATTACCAACAGGAAAAAGTCGAAGAAAACAATGCAGAGGAAATAACTTCCACCTCATTAACATAGGACATGTTCTCGAGACTTCACCAATTGCAACAAAGAAAACTTTTAATGGAGGAGTTCATAATAAAGTTCGACCAATTACAGATGAAATGCGAGTTGATCGAACCATAGGAGCACACTATAACCCGATACATTGGGGGCTTGAAGCCCGCTATTAGCAATGTTGTGCATTTACAATCATATTGGTATCTGAGGGACAATGGAATGACAAGATAATTCAGAGTGGAAAGAAGCCGAAGAAGGGTAGGTCTTCGAGTACAGTGCATGTCAGGAGGCGTTTCAGGTGCTATGGCTACGAACACATAACCTTCAATTGTCCCATGATCTGAGTTGTCACATTCACATTTTAGGGCGTCAACGAGGATGATGTGTCAGAGGATAGTACAGAGGAAGAACTTTAGCTCTAGGGGGACGAGAAATTGCTAGTCATACGTAGAATTCTGCAAGCAAAGTTAGAGCGAGATCAGTCCAGAGGAAGACCTTTAGCTAAAGGGGACAATGGAAAATTGCTAGTCATACATAGAGTTCTGCAAACAGAGTTAGAGCGAGATCAATCATGATTGAGACTCAATATATTTCGTAAAGGGCAAGTTTTGCAGTTTGATCATCGGTAGCAGGAGTTGTGAAAATGTGGTGCCCACGTTGATAGTGAAGAAATTGGGATTGACTGCACAGAAACATCTCTAGTTTGTTTAATTTGTGAATTGAAGTTTTGAGATTACCAGTGGCAAATTTAGGGATGGTAGGACGAATTAACTTTATCATGGGAGATAATTGCACAGTTGGAGATGGAGATCTAAGGTTATGCTATGCTTGAAATCGTTTGTCAGCTTTTGCTTCCAACAAGGTAAGACGTAGGTTGATTTCCTCGAGGATTTCTCCAATATTCTGCAGTTGTTTTTTAATGATGTATAGGCGATCGCTAATGCGCACTAGAAGATGAGTGTCGTTTTTTATTCGATTTGATGAATGAGTTGGACAAAGAGCGAGATGGCCACAAAAACACCAATTTTTAAGAGCTTATAGGTTAAACAATTCTAGAATAAAACCGGTAACGACATAAAAAGCAAAGAAGTAAGATGGCTTAGATGAATTTGAAAATTTATGTAGCTTCAACTAAGGGAAGAAGATGAAGTTGAGAAGTACAAAATGGGTTTTGAGTTTGCTAGCCCATTTCTTCTCCAAACCTATACTCATTCCCCAACCTCACTCCTTTTTTTCAACTCAATAGAAAGAAGGCTTTTTGTAATCTTTAACGAACTAGAAAATGACATTATCATTTTTTTTCTCACACTCCTATATAAGGTCCAAGTTATGCCCATGCCATGTGTTAATGGTCAAGCCAAAGGGGTTTGCAGTTTCACTTTTCATTTGGGACCATAGGTCCATAGTTGGTGTTGCTATCCATGAATTCATGGATACAATCGAAGTTGGTTCAATTGAGTGTGTATCACTTCAATTTTCACACTAAATTGAGCATGATTGCTTTTCTTTAGTTCTTGCATGCTTCTCAAGTTTCTATGATGTAGTCTGGGTCTTCCATCTTATCATGTATCTATGATGTAGGGTGGAAATGGTGGTGGGCAACTTCAAAATTACTTTAATATCAAATTTTGTGGCTTGGATTTGTAGATTGGGTAACTTGCTGGATTTGTATTTTGCTCGATGATCGCAAATATGAAACTAACTCAAGCTTAGAATTTTGAGATGGCTGTAGGTTTAGGGTTTGGGATGATTTTAGGGTTGGAGTTTGAGATGCTTTAGAAGATGGGGCATGTCAGGAAATTTGCATGGCTGCATTGCGATTAAACCTAGAGAATAGGCTGTCAGAACCAATCAACATTTTGAATGCAGAAGTTACAAAGAATTGAATAATGAAGACCCGTTAAAAAAATCCACTTAATTCTAATAACCAGAAATGAGAAGGATATTCCCCAAATTATCGTGGGACTAAAAGGGTTCTAGAATTTGGGTTTTATGACCAATTTTCCTTAAAGTTTGATATGAGAAGGAAGGGCTATGATTGGTGGTGAGAGAATAGGTCGGTTCGGTTATTGAGGGGAGATTGACAATAATATTGGAGAGAAGTAGCTGATTAAAGCATCAAACATAATCATAGACCATGCAACTTGCATTAATTGAATTTCTCAGGAGTTTGAGAGCCCTTTTCTAGGCATCCAAAGGCCCCTTAATATCTAAATACATGCCTGATTTTTCTAGCTAACTTGAAAAAAATATAATTTGAAATTCAATTAAATCTTAGTAGAAGAATAAAAAATTCCGAAAATTCCAAAAATTCTTGAAGTATTCTTTTTCTGTTCAACATGATTAAATCAAGCTATGAAAATGGCTAATTATCTTGGTTTTGAGTGCAGTAGTGATGTTTATGCGATGAATAGATAGATGGTGCTCACGAATTATTGTGGAGTGTACAAAATTTTTCTTTGGAGAGTTCTAATGTTGGCACTTTTTAAGGAGATCAAGAGAAACTCGATGGAGTTCATGCATTATGTAAGATTAATTTGATGTTGGATGATCATGACTTTAATTAAATATTTTTATTGGTCAGAAGAGCATATTGTACTTTATTGATTGTTCTCTACTTAATGTTTGTTATTACTGGAATTGATTGTAACACAAGAAAGCTGTGGATTATTTAGTGATGTAGTTACTCGTTTGATACTCCTGTAGTGAAAGTAGGAGTTTTGAATGTGTCTCGATAAGGTAATATCTATTCAACATTGAAAGTGGAACTCATATTTATGTTAGGATGAAATCAACATCATAACAATTTGACCCAATTATTCTATTGACTAGGCATTGTCTGAAGGCTTGGTGATATAATGTTTTATTCGAAAAACATGTAGGATGAATGCACACTAAAATATAATCAATTTTTATTTATTGCTTTTGAATTTTAATAGAAAATTTATACCCATTATCATACAACAAAATTTTTTTTCCTTGTATCAGCACATAATTTATGCAGGTAATCGATGATGACATAACCAAAAAATAATGATGCATGAAGATGACAGTGCATCTTATGAGATATCTTTTTAATTATCCGAAGTCACGCTAAATAATGAGTAATTTTTTATACAACTGTTAACAGATTTTGATATATTTCTAAGGAATATGTAATAAAACTTATAATTATTTCATTGTAATGGTGATTCGTGAATAAGCATTCTATACTATTCCTTTGAAAAATATTTCAAATGGTTTAATTCGATGATTCTTCTCTTCAAATTTTTTTTGCAATTTCATAGTTGATGTTCTGCTATGCATGTTTTTTGTCAGAAAAAGTTTCACTAATGATTTCACCGTTAATTTCTTTCCAAATTTTAAATTCACACAATTTCTGTAAGTGGAGATTCAAACAACCTTTATCGAAGTATAAAGCCAATGCGTTCATTCTCTTGCAAAATAACATACTCGATAAATAATTTCTCAAGAGCAAATTTAAGAAGATGCTCAAGCCTGACTTATCACTCAGGGTCAACTTTTATCAACAACTCTGCATTTGAATCATACTTAGTTTCAATTCAAATGGAACTTTTTTTCTCCAAATTAAGGTCCAAAGCTTGCTTTATTTATTGTTGAGATTGAATTCTTGTTTAGATATGATGCCAAAGTTAACCCAAACAATAATAGAAACTGAAATTTTTTTATTGGAAGCAAATGTGCAGTAACAATCAAACACACTTGAAATGGAAAATACAACACACACGACACACAAACTCATGTTAGAGTGGATCCCGGGTGAGGGCGGTGATGGATAAGGGGCTTGAAAAGGTGGCAGCGAGGTAGGGAGGGGTTTCTGGACTGCGGATGAGGGATAGCAGAGATTATGTGCTGCTGGAATAGGGGGGCAGCAAGGGTAGACGGTCCAAACAGCTGCGGTTTGCTGTTTGGGGCGGCTGGATAGCAGGAAAATAACAACGGGAAGGCATTGCGATTGCAGTAGTGACAGTGGAGGGCTGGGACAGTGAGGACAGCGAGGACAGCGAGGACAGCGAGGACAGCGAGAAGGGATGGCTGGAACGGCGATGGAAGCAAGCATGCTGGAAGCTGTGAATTGTCGGAAAAAGTAAGAGGGAGAGCCGACGGCTGATTTGGAAGGAGGAAAGCTGGTATGGTGGAAGGCAGGGGGCTGGAACAGTGATGGCAGCAAGTGGGTGCGCTGGAATCATATGGAACTTGGGTTGGAATGCATAAATTGCAGGAAGAACAACATCGACAGCAATTTCGGGCGGCTGCAACAGCGAATGGAGGGCGGGAGCAGTTTGGAGGATGCAGAAAGGGTATGGAGAAACAAACACCACCTCGGGAGAGAAATACAACTGGAATATAATCCAATCCCTTGGACGCAATCTTCGAAGAGAAAAACGGACATCTGCGGCTGTTATGGTAGAAACCCAAACCAAAACTTCCTAAAGGCACAAAAACAACATATTTATAGGCCTAGGGTAACTGTTGTGGTACTGTAACAATGATGGGAAAAAACTCCTCCTGGGTCGCTCCCGTGTCAATATAGTAATGCATATTATATTTTGAGCTTAATTTTTGATATTGAATTTCAATAGGTACCTAAAATAGTTCCAAAGCCAGCTTTATTTCAATTCATGTTTAAATACTATTATATGCCCAACTTCAGAATGTGCAATCAAATATATGTAATTTATGAAGAGTGGGTATTGGTGATATAAATCATCACTCAACGGATATGGGGCATGGAATAACTCTTAAAAGTAGGACTTGATATGTCATTGGCACAATATTTTTGGTCATAAATCGTTATCATTGGACCGTTCAATCTCAATATTTTCGTTCAAAAAGAAATAATCAATGAAATATAATCACATGTGGCATATAAAAAGCTTTAGGAATAGCTCAAGTAAAACTAACATTGATATTGTAATGATTGCATTTAACATGTTTTCAATGCATTTTATCTTGGGCAATAAATCAACAATGGCATTCATTGTTAAACATGATTTTAAAATTATACTATCTCCACAGAATAAAAAATGCCTGAAAAAGGGTATTTTATTTAAATTAATCACAAATATACAAACTCATTGATGCGGAACCAATTTAACTTTATTAATTTGGTAGTGGGATGCCCATCGGTAAGTGCTCCGACCATATTTGACCTTAAATTTAGAATAAAACACTTAAACAAAATTTCAGCGTGTATAACACTATTAGTGCCGAATGCGTCTTTTCCCAAAATGCACTTCACACAAACATACAAAGGCTTTTTTAAAATGTCTGTGTATCGTAGTAATTAATTATCTTATCTACATTATTAGTCTTCTTCTAACCGTAAATCATTATCTTTAATATCTTAAATTGGAGCAGCTTCAAGATCAAAGCTGATATGATAGGATTTTCTTAGAAGATTTAGTAGTTATGGTTAGGAGTGTTAATTTTTGTTTAGGCTTGTATCCGGTGCCAATTTATTGTGGAACCCAATGGTAGGTTGACAATTATGTGAAGGTGCTATCTTTGAAACAAAAAAAAGAAAAAAGAAAAAAAAAGGTGCTATCTTTGAAACACTAGAAAATATATAATCATTTTAGCAGAAGGGTTCAATATTATCTTTTAATATCTATATTAATTTTATAAGTTTCATCTAGAGTTTCAGGAGAATAACTTCTTACCAAATTCTTGTTATTAAATCTATGGCAATTAAAAAATCTCAACGTTGTAATTTACTATGCTTCTGATAGACAACATTTATAAAATATCCTTTCAAATATGCTAGAGTAATAACCGGCACTTTGGTTATCTTTTCCAGGTTTCTCAAACTTTTCAATCAATTGCTCACAATAATTTGTTTGTAGATGTTTTTAATTAAGCTCAATCTTCATTTTATATTCAGTATCAGTTTCAACTTCATTTCAAAATTTTCTAGCAAACCCTACTACCAACTTTAATTTAACAATTCTCATACGCCCTAGTTCATATATTTAATGCGAATTAAATGTCTTTTTAAGTATGTAACTATAAAAATTCAATCTAATCTTCTTCTTCATCAAATACGGAAATATTTTTGTTAATGTGATAAGAATTATCAGTATATTTATTTTAGTATTTCTGTGAATCCCAATGATCTTTAAGTTTTTATGATGTTAATAATCATTTTCAATACCAGGCTTTTGTTTAATCGGTTCATTTGATTATCATCGAACTCTTTTGTGGCATCCACAGGCTGAAGACTACAATCATGCACACACATCGTGAATATGTCAAACTGATAATCAATAATGATTAACATCCATGTAGTATTGACTATTGATGGATAACCTATATTCATTGCAAAATTATTCTTTTGATTATTGGAACTTTTCACCACTTAAAATTCTTTTTTTGAAGCACTACTTCTGTTCCTAATATAATTCAGAAAAATAAGAATGATGATTATATTGAAATTTGTATGGCAGTAAGCAAGAAGAAAAGTAATTAAATGAAAAGAAAATTTGACTTTCTGGAACTATCAAAAAGGCTTTTCTATAAATAAGAATTAAGTTGCTCCTAATGATGACATCCTAACAACATGTAGAAGCTCATCTCACAAGTTTTGGTTCAGGTTAGCAGGCTTGCCTGAAAAAAAAAACATCTGCCAAATCACCAGATCAAACTCATAATTCATAGAATTTGGTGAACCATTTAACTCAAGTACAACTATTACTGCTGAGTAGTTCTAATTTTTAACAGGCTACTTTAGTCGCAACAACTTATACTCTGAAAAATTTATATACATACCACACAATTCTTATGTATTTACATATCTAACTCCCAAAGTTTAATATTTTTACTTATAACACCTTGGCGTCATAAACCTTTGCATGAAAATGTGTATTTCATTTTTTAAATGACAGGGAATGCGATACTTTTAATGTGATGTTAAAGATTTGAGCGGTATGCATGTAAATATGATTGTTTAGGTGTTTGTGGTATGTATGTAGATGCCCCTTTCCTTTTTCCACGTTAGGTTCCCGTTTTATATTCTAGTGTGGAAAAGTTTCCTCAAATTGTTATTAGAGCATGGAAGTAATTAGAAGAGTTACAAATTCTTTGTTGGTCATTTGGTTTTGAAAGGTTGCCCGCACATTGCCTAACAATGTGCCATTTGATTATATTTTATGGCAGCTCAGTTTTGGAAGAAGAGCGTGGGGTTGCTCACATTGTTGAACACCTTGCTTTTAGTGCCACAAAGAAATATTCAAACCATGATATTGTTAAGTTTCTTGAAAGCATTGGAGCTGAGTTTGGTGCTTGTCAGAATGCTTTAACTTCTTCAGATGAGACAATTTATGAATTGCTTGTTCCAGTAGACAAACCTGACTTATTATCTCAGGCAATATCTATTCTTGCTGAATTCAGCTCCGAGGTGTGCTGTCTATCATTTATTTCTGTTATAATTTAGATGTTTTTTTTTTATTATTGTACCTATGTATGATATAGGTTCGGTTTTCAGCAAAGGATCTAGAAAAAGAGCGCGGGGCTGTTCTAGAAGAGTATCGGAGTGGTCGTAATGCTTCTGGTCGGATGCAAGATGCTCACTGGACTCTAATGTTTGAAGGATCAAAGGTGCTATTTCTTAGTCTGTTTTTTGGTGTTGCTTTAAATGAGTCTGTCATATTTGGAAAAAGGAGTAAAGTGCTAAAATAGTTTCCTGATTATCTACATTAGGTCATTTTAGTTCCTGAATTTATAAAAGTGCTAAATTAGTTCCCATATCATTAATGGGAGACAAAATAGTCCTCATTGAGAACTATTTCAACCCATATTAAAAGATTTAGAGGACTAAATTGACACTTAAATACTCTGGGACTAAAATGCCACTACAAAAAGTCAGGGATCGTTTTGACACTTTTCTAGTTGGAAATATCAAGTTGAATCATTATGCTAATATTATCTCTGCTCTATTAATTCCTTTTGAGTTTGTATCACTCTCAGTTGTGTTTGCTAGCGTTTTCTGTTATTTGAATTTTCTTGAAATTTTAAACTATCTAGTCATTGATTGACAATCATCTTTGTTCGACATTCAAGGAAATACACTACATTTTATGTGTGATGTACAAATTTGGCTGTATGATTAGTGTGCATCATGGATGCTAAATCATCCAATACGGACTATTTTAATACTTAACTATTTTGTGGAGCATTGATATGCATTCTATCTCAAGTCATATACAGTGAGTTGACAACATAAGGTCAGTGTGCTCTCTGTTTGTTTTGGAGTTGATGTTTCAAATGTTTGGTTTCTGTGTTGATGTACTACTATAAAAGCGTTTATGTTATATGTTATTTTATTTGGTGGCTTTTAGATTCACACTATACATGTTCTATGAAACATTTTTATTTTATTTAAATTGTGATGATACCTGTTCTTTTTAGTTTTTTCTTCTAATTTTAGTCATACTTATATTCTCTGCAACAAGTCATCCACACATAGTTTGGGTTGGAATTTAACCAAATCCTGCTTTAAGAATTAGACTCATATCAATTTGTTTTTATTTATAGAATCTCAAAACCATATCTAATCATATTCTATATATGAGGTGTACCTTGAGGTTAAGCTCTTTCCAACACCTCCTTTGGGAATCTATAACTAACTGGATGATTCTGTTAAATGCCATGCACTCCAATAAATTGCTTCACTAGTTTTTATGTAGGGGCGGTTTCAAATTACTTTTATTTTCTGTTTTTTATTTTTTGCTTTTATTTTGTTTTGTTTATATTTTGATTGAAATTAAAACATGTTTGATTGAGCTAGTTGTTTTGAGAAGCACTCAAAACAACTTTTAGGTGTTTTTAAAAGCAAGTTGATTTATTTTTTAAAACGAGAATAAGAACATATAAAAAATATTCTAATCGAACATTTTCTTAAAAAAATAAAATAAAAATGATGCCAAATGGGCCCATATTTTATCTGGTTTCAAGTCAACATTCACCAGAACTTTATTGGTTACAATATGTTAGAAGCTTTGTTAGGAATTAATTTATTCCTGTTGAAAGTTATGTGGATTAAATTTATTTTTTTGGATTAGAGTTATTTTCTTTCATATTTTATGCTTTATGTTGTTTTCTTTGTCTCCAAGTAATTTATATGAATTGATTAATTGGAACCATAAATGTTATATTTTTACATTGCTGTTATTTCTTTTTTATTGTCTTTCCTATTCTAGGATTCATTTAAGAGTTATTTATACTTCCGTTTCATATCAATAATTTATTCCTCATTATTATGAATTTCAACATGGTATCAGAGTCTTCAAACAAATCCTTTAGTCTCCTGCCGCCAGAAACTTCATATTCCCTGCAACTGGCAGTTTTTGCCTTGTTGCAGGCCCTTCTTCCGCCTACTCGTTTTACTATTTTCCGATGAAAACTTCCACTTCTTACTGACTTCGCTGTCGGAATTCTCTCTTGTAGCCTTTCACGTTACTGTTTTCTCTTCAAGATCTATTCGTACTCACCTTTTGTCCCTCGAATCCTATTGGTTTTAAACTATAATGCCCACGATAGACTGTCAGGGATCTTCCGTTCCATTCGCCGTGATTGGCCGCTCCCTTCTAAGCCTCCGGTGAGATCAAGTTCATGCCATGGATGGGCCGTCATGAACTCAGCTCGAGCCAAGAGCAAGGGCTCAATTCCTTCCAGCGCCACGTCGCTAGTTTTTTTACTGACCTTTCTTCTTATGGAGGAGACGAGCTGCTCTCGCTTGCCTGGTTACATAAGCCACTCCATTCAATCCTCCTTTGCCAAGAGGAATTTCGTTTCATTCTTTTCAAGAACCGGACGATCCTCTACTATCCTCCACTTGGTCGTCTTATCATTGAGTTCTAAGATCGCTGGGTCAAGCCTTCGACATCTGCAACGCCATACGCGACGAGATCGTACAGGTGAGGAGTGGCAAAAGCACATCTAGTTTGTTCTCATTTCCTTAGATACGTGCAAAAAACCCATTGGCGAGGGCCAGCTCCGCAGCGCTAAGAAGGCTTTGACGGATCTCACTGTGCTTATGCTTGATGAAAAGAACCCGATGTAAATTCTTACGCTGCGAAATCGTTTGTTTGGCCGCAATAGCCCAAGCGCCGACAAGGATCACCATCTTACCAGTGACCAGTTTTGGTCCTTGTCCTGGAGCGTTCCATATCATGGTCAATTGCACGACAACTGCAAGCTATTGGAAGCAACATATATGCTTCACGTGGCAATGAGATTGCGGCCACCAGTTCCTCACCATGAACTCGGTTCTTCATTTGTTGCTGTGGGCTCTTGTCGATTCCATACATTGCCATGTCAGTGGGTTTCAAAGTAATTTTCAATTCCCAAGAGCTTTTCTTAGGGGGCTTCGATTTTGTCACTTCATGATAAGATAATGGAGGAATCGAAGAAGGGAGAAAGGAGGAATTGTACTGGGTTGTTGAAGGAGATTCATTAGATTGAGAAATGCACACACCGTTTGTTGGAGTTGATTGATTCACTTTAGTTCCCAATCTCGGAGGAAAAGGTGTTGGAGTTATCTAAAAGTTTGTATGAATTAGGTATTGTGTTTGATCTTTGAAGGAAGAATTGAAGCCATGCGAGCTCCATGTGAGAGAGGTATTCCATCGGATTGTGCGCAACAGACTCTCCTCTGAAGCTTTTCCCTGCAACAACCCCTCCGAAACTTTTTTCTGTGGTAGGCCTCTAGAACTTTTTCCTGCAACAATCCTCCACCGGAATCTTTCCTGCAGCAGACCCTCCTCCGGAATCTTTCCTGCAGCAGGCCCTCTGGAGTTTTTTTTTGCATTAGGCTCTTCTTCGGAGCTTTTTTCTGCAGTTGGTCCTCCGTAGCCTTTTCCTGCATCAAATTCTCCTGCACTTTTTCCTGCAGTACCCTCCTCATAGCTTTTTTTTGCATCAGACCTCCGAAGCTTTTTCCTGCAGCAGGTCCTCTTCCAAAGCTTTTTTATGCAGCAGGTCCTCTTCCAAAGCTTTTTTCTGCATCAGGCCCTCCTCTGGACCTTTTCTTGCAGCAGACCATCCTTCGAAACTTTTTCTTATTACAGACCCTTTCTCAGACCTTACCCTGCATCTTTCCCTGTAGGCGTTCTTTCTTCTTTATGCAGAACATACATTGTAATTTTTCTTGTTGATTGTCTACTTTTCTGCAAATTTTTCTACAGCATTACCTGTAGGAGTCTTCCATCTAACTATAGACACTGCCGAAATTGCAACCGATGACATCCGCAGTCAACTAGAAGTCAGCTTTTATTGTAGGTTGTCTACTTCTCTGCAAACTTCCTTACAACATTATCTATAGGAGCCTTCTGCTTATCTACAGACATTATAGAAACGATAGTCAAAGATAACCGCAGTACGGGATGAAGACTTCAAGTTTTAGCTCACAAGGTCTTCTTGCCCGTTGATGTTTTTAGATCCAAGTTGATCATGATTTTCAACCATATTTCAACTTGAGGGGAGTTTTAGAAGTTATATTAGGAAATAATTTATTTCTGTTAGAAGTTATGAATATTAATTTAATTTCTTTTGATTGTACTTATTTTCTTTCCTATTTTATGTTTTATATTGTTTCCTTTATCTCCATGTAATTAATGTGAATTGCTTAATTAGAGATATAGTTGTTATGTTTTTCGTTTGCTGTTGTTTTTTTTGTGTTGTCTTTCCTATTCTAGGATTCATTTAAGAATTATTTATACCTCACTTTCATATCAATAAATTTATTTCACATTAATCTGAATTCCAATACCAGCTGGCTTGATTTCTCCTTTAATTTGATCATTTGATTGCTTTTTTTTGTTGCAGTATGCGGAACGTTTACCAATTGGATTAGAAAAAGTAATACGAACAGTTACTCCTCAAACAGTCAAAAAGTTTTATGATAAATGGTATCATCTGCACAACATGGCTGTTGTTGCTGTAGGTGATTTTCCTGATGCACAGGTCTGAGTTCCCTAAAGCTTTGTCGTTTTGCTTTGGGGAAATTTACATGCATACCACATAATTCCTATGTATTTACATATCTAACGACAAAAATTTGACTTTTATATTTATGCCACTTTACCCATGCTTGAAAATGTATTTCATTTTTTAAAAGTTAACAATAGTGGTATTTTTGATGTGATATAAAAGATTGTGTTATAAATGTAAAAAAATAGATGAGTTAGATATGTAAATATTTAAGAATTGCCTGCTTTGTATGTAAATGCCCGTTATTTGTATTTTAAAATTTTTTTTTTTTTGTGGCTCTTGAGTTATGTTGACGTGCTTAATGAACTAAACCTATATTTTCTTGGACCTTGGTAGAGTGTAATTGAATTAATAAAGACTCATTTCGGGCAAAAGACTTCAATTTCTCACCCCCCTCCAATTATACCAGAATTTCTTGTGCCATCACACAACGAACCACGGTTCTCATGCTTTGTTGAATCTGAAGCTGCCGGAGTAAGTTATCTAACCAGTACAATAAATCCTCATGCATGCCTATGTGCATAACACAACAAAATTAATATGCTATGCATCAAATATCATTATTAAATTTTTAATCCCCATGTTTCCTCTCTTTGGTGTCTAAAGTAGTCTGCAGTTATGATCAGCTGCAAGATTCCTTTGGATGAGATGAAAACCGTGAAAAATTATCGGAATTCACTGGCAGAAGCAATGTTTCATTGTGCTTTAAACCAGAGGTTCTTCAAGATATCCCGTTGCAAAGATCCACCACACTTCTCGTGCTCTTCAGCAGCTGATGTTTTAGTTCGTCCTGTTAAGGCTTATATAATGTCCTCAAGTTGCAGAGAAGGAGGGACGGTTGAGGCACTTGAATCGATGTTGATGGAGGTGAATACTACTTTTCACTTATAGAGATGATGTGCAAATGTTTTTATTTCTGCAATTTACATACGGAGCACACAATGCTGATGTATTTTGCATATCTCACACTTAAACTTTTATATTTACATGGTATTTTTGTGCTTTAAACCTACACATGAAAGGTTTTATTTGACTTTTAAAAAGAGGCAACAATGCTATTTTTTAGCTATTTTTTATCTGATAATATTAAAGATTTGAGTGCTGTGTAAGTAAATATGAAAGTTTAGGCGTGAGATATGTAATTGCATAAAAATTGTGCACTATGTACGTAAATGCCCTTTTTTAATTTTAAAGTCTGTATATAATGTTTTTCAGGTTGCGCGGCTTCGGGTTCATGGGTTTTCAGATCGTGAGATATCTATTGTGCGGGCACTGATGATGTCAGAGATAGAATCTGCCTTCCTCGAACGTGATCAAATGCAATCAACAGTGTTGCGTGATGAATATCTTCAAGTAATTTTTTTTTGTTTATGTTGTCTTTTTATGCTTTATTTTTGTTGGCTATACTTTGGAAAATTTTTTTGGCTGCTGCAATCAAATCTCACCAATAGCAAGAAATCATCTACTGTTGCAACTGTTTAGACCCTTGCTGTCAAGTACAATTATGTCTCAGTTTCTGCAGTTTATTTCATTTACCATTTACGGACATTTACATATCTGGCATGTAATTCTTATGGATTTACATATCTCACACCTAAACTTTTATTTTTACATAGATAGCACTCTGGTGCTTTAAACCGTTGCATGAAGAGGTGTATTTCACTTTTAAAAAGGGGTAATAGTGTTATATTTGATGTGATATTAAAGGTTTGAGTGCCATGTTTGTAAATATGAAAGTTTAGGTGTGAGATATGTAATTACATTAGAATTGTGTGCTATATGTGGTACGCCCCCAACAGTTAACTATTATTTGGCTTTGGGCGTTGAACTAATTAGTCATTTCTTCATATAATCTGAGACTGTCATTTGACTTTATTGCCATATTTATTTTGTGAAATTCTTGTTTTGGTTATCTGATCATGCTCTCTTATACTTATTGATTTTTTTACGTGTTGTTAAAACACATCTCGTAAGTCCTATTGAACACACATCTCATTTACTCCTAATGATCTTCATACAGAGAGGGATAAGTTTTTCTATGATAAGATTTATTTTTCAAGTGACAAAAAACTCCATGGAGTTGTTACCCTATCTATGTATTTTTTTAATATTTTATTTGAAAAAACTTTTGTTTAATTAATCTCTAGAGCTTATCCAAACTATAAACCCACAATCTTGAGAAGTACATCATGTTAACTTGCATAAAATACCTTTTCTATTCATTATGGTGGCGCCTAGCCATTTTCTTTTTACTTGTAAGTTTTATTGTTGGGACCTACTTAAAGCTTGATTTTTTTCTTGACCTGATTTTTATGTTTTCTCTAGATTGCGAAGCTCAGACAATCAAGGTCATCATCATCTTTGGTAGCCTTATATGAACTCTTGCTTACTGGCTTTATTCAATCTTTTTCTCTAAGTTTTACGGTGATGAATGCTTTGTTGGCTTTAGTTTATGCAAGTTTTTTCTCCCCAGAACTTCTATAAATTTTATTTTTAGTCTCCCTCTTTTCTTTCTACTTGATCTACATTTTATCTTCATGCCTTCCACATGTTTTCTCAGTGATTTATTGGTTCGTTTTTTGCTTACCTTTCTACTTTCACAAACCACCATAACCTGTTTTCTAAAACTTTGTAATCAACAGGCGCTGTGCTTTTTCTTTTCATTTTTATTATACCGATCTCACATTTCTCACCCTTTCTTGTTAGCGGTTTATTTGTTCCTAGCACTAGATCACTCATATAAGATAGATAGATGAGCTTATTACTGCTTTATATAATTTTCTTTCAAGCAATATTTCCCTTTGAGGCACTTTATTTTTTAATCTCACACACACACACACACACACACACACACACACACACACATAGGGACGAGGTCCCATCGGCTCTCTCCCACACATGCGAGTTACCCTAACGGCTCTTACCATTCAGTCGATCTCCTCTCCAACTCACAACACTCGAAACCCTAGCGGATCCCTCCTTCATTTATTCGCGCCCCCTCTCGCCCTCTCCTTCTCGCGAGAAGGCTAACAAGGGTCGCAAGGATGGATTTTTATTTCGGCTTATTTACTCGGCTTTGGCTTGGATGCCCGGTTTTCTTGCTTGATATTTCAGTTTCCTTGCTCGAGCTCTCGATATTTCTGTCTTTTGCTTGTTTTCTTGTTTGTTTGTTTATAAATTTTGCTAGTTTGCTCGAAGTTCTTGCTTGGTTGTTCAGCCTTCCTTTCGCTTTGGCTGCTCGATGTTTTGCCGCAGGCGGTGGTGATGCTGCTCAACTACATTTTTTGTTTAACACAAGCTATTCATGGTCAGTGCTTTCCTCGAACAGTCAATATAATGGCAAGGCATCATGGATGTCTTAGGAGGCAACCCATGCAGCTAGGGACTATTTTATGGGGTTACTTAAGTTACGGAATTTACACTCCATTTTCTGATATTTAGATCCAAAAGGATTTTAGTGCTTTTTTGGTTTTCCTTGCATGACATTCTTTAAATTTTTGATGGTAGAACGAGGTTGTTTTGTTCATGATTTTGTCATGCTCGTGGTGATTATCTTTGTTATTATGTTTGAGAAACCTTATGACTAAACATATATGCTGATATATCTTGGGATTTAATCGCTTATGTGATCTCAATATTTAAATGGCTGCTATTTATTTGAAATCTTTCTGAAAGTTCATCATTGCGAGCGCGATCCTTGCGGGGTCATTCTTGGTTTTGTGCTATTACCATCTAAATTGGCCATGGTTTGCTGTTGTGCTATATGAAGGATCAGTTCTTCAATTATACAAGTTTACATTGTTTTGAGATTTGAGGATGAGGCTATTCATTCTAGCTATATGGTTGTGTTGATGACCATTTTGGGATTTGCCTTGATCATGAAGTTGGTTTCACATCATCGTAATGTGCCAAAGGTTTTATGAATTTTAAGCAACTTTATTCGTCGAAGCCGACAATGCTAATTATTTTGTCGAAATCCACTATGTGGGTGACAACAATTCTACTTACATGGTTAGAGTTAAAGTCGGTTAATGTATTGGGATTTTTTTTTTGGTTGCATGTTTAACACTCAATTTTCTACTGTTATCCATACAGTTAGTATGACGAAATAAATTTTGGGTTTTAGATATGTGAATTCTTAAGAGTTACGTGCTGTTTGTATAACACTTTCTTTGTGTGTGTGTGTGTGTGTCTCTCTCTCTCTCTCTCTATATATATATATATATATCATTCTTTTGTTTGAAAAATGAAAGTTATCGAAACTCTGTACATCCGGGGTATCATTTGATTAGCCAATATAATTGACTTGAATGTTCTGTAATCATTTCCAAAACCTATAAAATGCAATGAAAACTATCCTTGATGTGATTTTATTATGCTTAGGAGATCTTTATAAAGTTAATGTGTCATACATTAAAGTTATGGGGGAGAGTAATTGAACATAGGTTATGACATGATACAAAAATTTCTAGAAATCCGTTTGGATTCCTGTTGGGCAAGTTTACTATGGAAGCTATTTTTTTATTGAGAGGTTTGATGAAGAAGTATTAAGAGAGTAAACAAGATCTACACCTGATTTTTATTAATTTTAAAAAAGGTTATGATAATGTTCCGAAGTATTTTGGAAAGTTCTAGGAAAGAAAGGTGTTGATGTTGTTTATATTCAAATCATTAAAGATATGTGCACTAGTGCTGTTACTTATGTTTGAACACAATGAGGATTGACCAAGTAGTTTTCTATTTCAATTGCATTAGATCAGAGATCGGCTTTAAGCTTATTTTTTTGCTATAGTTTAGGATGTTTTTACCGGACATTACATGAGAATGAAACTTGGTGTATACCTTTTGCTGATATTATCCTTCTGGTGGATAAGAATAGAGAGAAAGTTCAAGAAAAAAAATGAATTATGGAAGTCAACTTTAGAGTTTAGTACATCTAAAAGTGAATACATTGATTGTAATTTAGTAATATTAGATCTAGTGAAGAACTTGTAAGATCATTTTCATATGCATATACAGTGTATAAGTATATCTGCAAGCAATTGATTTAATAAATATGCTCACAAATTCAATAAAAATACTAAAAGCAGTAAAATGAATTGTGTTTGCTCAAGTTTACTTTTTTATAACATATGCAAGGATTCAACTATATGCATAAATTAAATACAGTTTCATATCGATGTGTCATATAGTAATTCTATAGAATGATATATTTTTTAATTTAACACATGATTTGCTCTTCTGGATTGATGGGGTAGTCTCGTGACGGGTTTCCCAAGATTGTCTTGAGCTTGCCGTCTAGAGTACACAATCTTTGTAACATAATTATCTTAAAATTTTTTAGGAATTTTTAATTTAAATGCAACTTAACACATTAAAATTCTCAATTGATAATTATTTCCGCTCATACAACATTCACACTGCTATACCATCTTAACTCTATCTCCAAACTCGCCCCAAACAATAAATCATTACAAATAAATTAGGATGTGTTAGTTTATTTATAATTAATATTAATTATCTATACTAATATGTGTGTATTTATGTATATTAATTTCACAAAAATATTTAAAATAAAAATGCTACCTCGAATACTAAGTATCTCCTGAAATCCTTTATATTCTTCTCTCTTTTCCCTTTCTTTTCTTTTTCCATTTTTCGTTCTCTATTTTCCTTGAAATCACTTTACCCGAGAGCTATAACTCTCTATTTGCCCATCCGGCTTTTGTTCCCGCTTCCAGCTGTAGTGTTGGTGCAGCGAAAGTCCTGATTGCGGAAAGCAACAATTATGGGAGAGGAAGAACTTAAAGCTGAGAGAAATGCTCTTTGTTTATTCTGCAGAAATGCCCTACCCTTGAGCCGCCCCTCTCGATTCGCCGCTCCAACATGTCTTCATGCGAACGACAATGTGACAGGGATGAGATTGGCAAAACTAGGAATAGGATGCTTCCATTAATATCATGTATAGGAATAAAAATATCAATGCTTAATCTAAGCCATCCAAATGGCCATCCCGTCGCTACATGTCGTGGAGTACGGTGGGATTGCTATCTTAACCGGATAATTAATAGAGATTTGATTAATTAATTCAATAATTAATTAATTTATTATTTTAAATTTTATAACTCAAAATTTATTAATAATTTCTATATAGTGTTTATATCAAACAAAATATTAAATTTTATAAAATTTGTTCGATTGAATTTTAGGTAATACAGAAATGGTATATATTTTAAAATGATAAAAAATTTACCTGAGTAGGCCAAAATTTTGTATTACACTAATTGAGTTGAGTCACGAGTAGCTTGTTGAATGCTTGATTTATTTGCATCCATAAGGAAAATGGTACGAGCTTTGCGTAATTTATTAAAATTGATTTTTTAATATCTTTAGTGTGCTAATGGAAAAATAATCTCATTGACATAAATTAGCTTAATTATGAAGAAATGCCATAATGAGCAGATCTAAGTTATTTCAAATCACATTAAACATAGGTTATATTAGACTTATAATTTATTACATATGCCAATGAATAGTTCTATGTGCTAATGAAGACGCATCTTGCTTTTTAAAGTCCAAATAGAATTTTTTAAAAAAATATGATTATGCATAAGGACAGGATTTGTAGATCTTTTTTTCATTAGCCTATGAGTTTATACAAAGAGCGCAAAAATGCATGAAAATATTTAGTAGAATCTTTTGGGAATTTTTTTATCGTTACATTTTTTAAAACAGGATTGTGTCTTGAATCAAGAGTTGAATGTCATTTATTGTTTATAGGGATATAAAAAAGTTATCTATTTGTGTTGTGGAAGAATGGAACCCCTAATTATTTGGATTAAATATAAAATCTATTTACAACTAAAATCTTAATTAGTAATAGTAATGGACAAAATAGTGTTTTCCCAAGCACTGGTTCTTGAGTTCTATTGCCATTTTTCAATGTCTGAGGTTATTTTTACTGTTGGGCAGCATGAATGGATCTCTATTAAATGGATGCTCAAGGACTTACCCTTGTCAACCAATATTTAAAAAGAAGAAATCAAGTTTGAAAAATTTTTCCTTAGCGAGATGTGGCATAAGCCTTGAGGGGGATCAAGGCATAAACCTCAAGACGATAATAAAAATTTCATAAAATTAAACATAAATTCATAAATATGGGAAAGCACACAATTTTATATATCAATAATTTCAAAATTTGCCTTTCTTTAAAATTTATAAAATTATCTTTTGAACTAAACAACTTCTTTTGTTATATTTCTTTTTTAATCTTTAAACATTTGAAATCTGAAATATTTTTGTAGCTTTAGCTGGTAGAATTAAGTATTTGATATTAGTGTATAGCTATCAATTTTTCTCTTTTCAACACATTTATGTGTTTTTATAAGAAGGTCCGTTAATTTGAAAAAAAATGATGGAAATAAATAATTTGCGCGCTTAATATGAATTTGTAGATTTCTCCTAAAGAACTCTAATAATTTGATGGAAATGTGATTAGTAGCTATTTATTTATATTATACGATTCAATAATTTGAGGAACATTGATTTTGATAACAAATTGAGAGTTGTTGGTCCTAAATAAATGTGGTTTTGTACAATGGAAGGACGGTAAATAAAAATGATGGAAATAATAATTTGCGCACTTAATATGAATTTGTAGATTTCTCTTCAAGAACTCTAATAATTTGATGGAAATATGATTAGTAGCTATTTATTTTTATCATAAGATTAAATAATTTGAGAAACATTGATTTTCATAGCGAGTTGAGAGTTGCTGGTCGTAAATAAATGTTGTTTTGTAAAATAGACGGATAGTAAATTAAAAACTATGAAAAGTAGAGAGTATTTTACTACCTGGCAATTTTATGAGTTTCTCTTTCTGCTAGTGCCAGTTTAAATTTTTGCAAGTTCATGGGACACGTTCTGCATGTCTTGTGGAATGTTGATGAAAATGAGTTCATATTTTAGAACTCACACTCTTAAATGTGAAAAGTGAGTCACTCATGAGCGTTTGGGAATCACCTTCATCTTTTATTTGCATAAATTAATATGATAACACAAAATAAAGTAGTGGCTGGGTGAAAATAATATTTTATGCTTAAGGATAATGATAAAACATTGTAAATGTAATTTTAATTGTATGATGAATGAAAAAAAGTCACAGAAACTCAAATAAATATTATCTCACAAGTGAATAAATGCAGAAGTAATAAACATCGCTAGAACTTTCTTTAATCACGCTCACTTATGGAGCTCAGTTCCAACAACTTCAATAAGCCTAAGTTGAAAAATATTCGCCCCAAAAGTCTTTTATATAATTATGTACCACAGAAATTATGATGATAAGCATAAAAGATCATGAATTTGTGGTCCAAAGTTCTGGCTGAAATAATCAAAGTGCTTGTTATTGGTAGAATAAATTCTCTTTGTGATGGATTATACCTCCCAACTTAAATAAAGTCCATATCAAAGTTTTTTATTGCCCTCTATATTTTACGCTGTTTCTCCTTATGTAAAATCAAATTGATTCATTGATGGACATGTAATTTATTAGTATGAGATGCTTTATCTGTGGTTTTGCTTGTTTTACATTATGCTTTGCTTTTAGGAAAATTTACATACATAAACCATAGTTTTTATGTATTTACATATCTAACACTAAAGTTTTATATTTAAATTTATTACACTTTGTTGTCATAAACTTATGCCTGAATAGGTGTATTTCACTATTGAAAAGTTTGTGATGTTGGTATTTTTATATAATATTAAATATTTGAGTGTTATGCATGTAAATATGAAAGTTTAGAGGTTAGATATGTAAATACATATGAATTGTGTGATATGAATGTAAATGACCCATTTTTTAATCACACTTGGTACATCTTGCCAGCTAAAACATCTATATTTTTATTGAGATGTTAGAATTTATTTATTGTCAAATTGGGATCTTCTTTTTCCCATCAAGGCTTATATGCTTCATATTCTATTCAGATTGAAGAGCTCGATTATATATCATCTTATTGTTGTGTTTTATGGAAGTGAAGTACTAAAATATGGAAATAGGCTTTGCAAATTAGCGAGAATTCGTTGCATGGGTTCACCCTTTGTTAGTTCATTATATGTCTGTTTCATTATTAGCATCTACTTCAGTCATGATAGATATTACTACTATTTCTACTATCTGTGAGAAATTTTCATATTAAGTCGTTTAATTTGTTTATTTTGGAATTGCAGCACTTCTTCCGTGAAGAGCCTGTTCTTGGAATTGAGTATGAAGCACAATTGCAAAAAACGATCTTGCCATGTAAGTCATTGCTTTCAACATCTATAACGAATATGCCTGACACTGATTTATTTTGTGCTCCTACTTGTAATCAAGACCAAGTCTAGCAAAAGATATTAAACTTTTGTGTGATGATTTCTATTTTCATTTTGTTTCTATCACTTAAACTTGTTATATGAGTCTTGTAATTGACTGTCAGTCAAAACTTGAGAAAGCTGGTGAGTGCTAATTTGTATTTGAAAGCAGAGAAGAAAGTTTATTTTTCTTCTGAATTGATTCATATGCCTTGAGTTGGCTTCATACAACAACAATGGCTTTAAAGGACGTCTTAAGCTCGGATAATTCAATCAAAACCAACAAAAAAAACAAGATGACGGCAGTAACAAGCTAGATAAGAATGATTCTAATTAATGTCTGCAAAAAATATGGATTTTTTTTCTTACGTATTCACAGGAATTTAATTCCACTTTTTTCAATTCCCTCATAAGTTGGTGAATACATAGTTATCATTCCTAGCTTGCCAGTTGATTTTTCAATGCTTATCTGAATCCCTTTTGTTAGTAGGATTTTTTCATTTACCATTTAAGGAACAAAGATTATAGAAATTAAAAAAGCCTAACCTTGATAGATTTTCACTTAATGTTTTTTAGGTACATAGATTTTAAAAATAAAGTCTTCTCTAATATGTTATTCAAGAAATTGTTTGTGTTCTTCATCATATTTTGTTTGTTCTTGGTAGACAATTGTGTGCCATGTTGATTGCAGACTTGCTACTAATTTTTCATTTCAGCAGACGCATAGCTTGTTCTTTTAGGGGTTGTGATTTGCTAAAAATGAAGTCAATGTAAAAGGTTTGCAAAGTACTGTTATTGCAATGTATTTAAAATACTTTATAGTTGTTTGGTTCACTGTAAAATAAACGCAACATTTTATTTTTTTTTGTTTGTTTGAAGTAGATTGAAAATATGTAATAATTTATTTGGGAGGAAATAGGTAGGTGGAGGGTGGCGGGACTGCGGAGAGCGGTGGGGGGCAGCAATTTGTCGATAGCATTTTATAGTGTAATTCAAATTAGGTCAAATCGGATGAATTCTAAATTCAACTAAAAAGAACTAAAGAGTGAACTTTAAATTCATTGAAACTTTATATTGTACTTGTATTACTTCATACCAAATACATAATTTCCTCAAATTCCTGTGAATTAATTAAATACACCACAAATCCTTCCAACCAAACAACCCCTTAGTTTTTTCCATTATACATTTTTATTGGTCTTCTCAATGTGACTAAGTTTCCTGATACTTTAGTGCAACAACTGGATGTGGACCTTCTGCCATCAATAATCTATGTGCAAACTACGTCTATAAAAACCTACATGCTCCTTTGTTCATTTTTCTCAAAAACAAATATTTATTGGCGTAAATTTCAAGCATCTCAAGTTTTTTCAGACTACATTTTGCTGTTCTTCAGATGGAGAATGCACGCATATACTTACCATGTTGATTGTGAAGGCTAAAATTGGCCTTTGTGTGAGAATTTTAGTTTCCTTAACGTATCTCTGATATTAGTCCTTGCTGGAATTCCTCCTGTTCTCTTATAATTTGAGTATAACGCTTAGGTGTTTCTTCTTGTTGACAAGAAAAGATACATGTTTCATTCAATACATGTTGTGTGTATTTCTGCTTAGAGACTATAATATATTTCATATTTCTGTCCACTTCCATTCATAATAAATACCTAATTTATTGTACATCTTTAATTTCACCAAACATGGTGACTGCTGTTATTTATTAAAGGACTTTTTTAATTTGAAAACTCCTTTATTTTCATTTTATTTTGCAAAGCTAGGTGAAAAATCCATGTATACCTTTTTCATTAAGCCCTCAATGAAAATGAGAACCTTGTTGTATTTAGTTTAGCTACTTATGTAAATAACTTTGTATAATTTAGACTAGTGAAGCCTTTGATAACTCTATGCGCTTTATATCTTTCTATAATCAGACTTATATTTTACAATTAAACCTCATTTTCCTCCAAATAATTTTCTTTCTTTCTTTAGTAATTCAACTATATCCCATATGCCCCTTATTTTTAAGGACATCATTTCCTCAATTTTGTGGTTTTTCACTCAAGGACTTATGGAGTTTTTTTAAATGGTTTTAGAACTACCTGTTCTGTGTTTCACTTAAAGCTTGTATTGCTGGAGATAATATGTGATTATATAAATTGTTAAACAGGGGTTGTCATTCACGCGCTTTAAGCTCCTTCCATTAGGATATTGGCATGCAAGCACATATTCATCATCTTCTTCTGAACTTCTCACTGGATTCAATTCTTGGTTGTATTTATGGTTTGGTTTTTTTTCTAATCATTTGTGCCTTTTGAGTATTTAAACTCACAACTTTGATATCGTGCTTTCAAAGTGATACCAGAATTAGTAGGAAAAATATTGGAAACACAAAAAAAAAAAAAAAACAAACTTTTATTAATGTAAAGAAAGGATTACAACATAATACAACAAAAAATAACAAAACAAAACATACACGACACACGCAAACACTTCTAAGATGTATTTCAAGGGTGGTGGAGGACAGCGAGGTGGATATGCGGTTTGGGACAGCAACGGTTGACTGCAAGAGAGTGGTCGACAGGGGTTGGAGGGTGAACTGGAGTAAGGGGCAGCAGGTTATGGTGGTTGGAAGGTGTGTTGGCTGGCAAAGAGGTAGGCTGGAAGGTGGAGTAGCAAGCTGGGAAGGTGGGACATCAGCTGGGAAGACTCGCCCGCACTTCAGAAGGGTGGAAAACGAGTGGGGAAATGTAAGCAGCAATAGGAGAGGCCGTGAGAGTGCAGCTAGTGAGGGAAAACAGCGGCCGGTGGAGCTCGCAGCAAGCCGACGGCTTGGATGAGTGGGTGAAAAGGGTTAGAGAAGATGAAAAGGGAAGATACATCTCCATCTTGGAGTAGGATACAACCGGGGCACTAACTCCTATTCAGATACAACCTTACAAAAGCGAAAACTTTCCTCATAGAAAATCTGAAAGCAAACACAACAAAGACCGTCTCCCACACACAAAGGATAACAATTTATAGATCCCACCGAACAAAGAAAACTTTTACACAAAAGGAAGGGGTGGGAAGACAAGAAGGATCCAAGAGAATACCTCACGGATGCGACAACATGTGAAGCTTTCCCTTTGGAACACAATTCTTTCTGCTCAAGAGCTCTTTCGCTGTCGCGCTTCTTTGTGTTGGTTCACAGTTTGGCCTCCGTGGCAAGTGACTGCGTCCGGGCGCTATTTTTAGCGCACGTATTATGGCGCTGTTAGTGCCTCGCGTTAGGGGAGCTGTTAGCGCCCACATCCCAAAGTTCTTCTAATTCAAAATTTGTTGCTATTTATGGCATGCTTGGCTGGATTGTATCATAGGGTTGCTTATTTGGTTGAGGATCAAGCAGAGGGAGGGTCAAATATAGAAGTACAACGACCGCCTTGTGGGAGATTAGTCATGAGATTGATAGAGAGACCTCAATGTCTCTCTTCATTTGGAATCCCATTTTGAAGAGCAATGAAATTATAGAATTATTAATGGTCTAAAAATGAGATGTCAAGTAAGAGAAAATTATTTGATAAATTGATATTAATATTTATAACCCCTTATTAGTTAGAATATACATTGAAATATTTGAACATGCATTTAGTGGACCTGAGATCATGTTTTATATGTTGATTTGGATTATGTACGTAGGTACAACAACCAGAGACCCTTGGATGAAGTGAAGTGAACACTTAGGTTTGAGGATAGGTCTCAACTAGAGCATTCAAGAGATTTTTATAAATGTGTACATGAGAAAGAGGTTTATTATACAATAAAAGTAAAACTATTTCTCCCTAGAAGCAATATGGAACCAAGGTCGCTAGCATAAAAGCAAAAACCATCTAACAAGGTCGCTAGCATAAGAGCAAAAGCCATCTAACAAGTGATCTTTCATTTTTTTTTTTTTTTGATAAACTCATATTGTTAGGGTGTTTAAACACAAGAATGTTGATGTAATATACTATGACTTGAAACATAATATTCAAAAGTTAAGTACTTAAAAACTTTTGTTTTAATTGATAAACCCAACAAGCTCTTGAGTGATTATCAATAGGTGTGATAAACTATTAATTTATAAACAAATTCATACTTTTAGAGAGCTCGATTAATTAATGAAAATTAGTGACAAGGCTTATGTGGAACATGAGACTATGAGTCTTGGACATGCTTGACAATAATACAAGTATCATAAAAGAAGAGTGGATATATTTATTCATGAGAAAGTTGAAAGTAAATTTTTGAGATAGGTGTAACGTTCTGTTTCATTTATTCAAGAGATGAATCGAATAGTCTTGAAGCCGGAGAGGGGGAGGTAGAGCGAGAAGGTCAGGTAGCCGAAGAGATATTTTTCTGTATAAATTCACACGTAGGATGGGACGGTAGAGGCAAGTTAACTTACATTGGAGTCAAATTGCGTAGGAGATGTCGGGCTTATGTTAGGGTTTTCGCCTAGCCGACGACGAGGAAGCTTGAGGAAGTATTGACGTCGAGCATTGGGGGGTTCAATGTGAAGGAGAAGTCGAGCATTGCACACAGAGAAGAGGCGGGAGGTTTCGACGTTGGAGTCGAGCAGCAGAGGAGCCGACGCTGGTATCGTGTGACCGATCAAATGAATGAAGGAGCGCCGTGAGTAGGAAGAAGGCAAAATCGCGTGAAGAAGAGGTGCTCTCCAGCGTGCGACCGAGTTGAGACGTAGCTAAAGGAAGACTTATTAGGCTCGAAGGTGAAAAGAAGAAGAGTGGCAACTTAAGGAAGCGCTTGTGCGATTTCTATGGACTGTGGTAGAATTACCATGCAATGCTTGAGGCTGTTGAGTATTCAAGCTTGTATGAGCTATTATACATCCTACTACTGTCAATTGTAATATCTGAGGATAGTTATAAAATTCACAATAAGAACAGAATAAAACAACACAATTTTGATCTTTAGTCAACTTGCCGTTATTCTTATGATTATACTTGAAATTCAGAATATTGTGAATCGAGTGAAGCATCAAATTAGCCACTACCCAGTTCCTTTTTTTTTTTTGACAACACTTGATTAGGAACCATTGGCCACTCTGATCTTTACATTATTAAGGCAATGTTTATAAAAAAAAAATACACATGTGATCCTTTTTGTTGGATTCCTCATAATCCACAATCCATGAGAGACCTTATTCAAATTTGGTGCTTAAATAGTATAATTAATCACATTTTGGGCTACAAACTACTTAGGAGAGGCAGAATAATTTTGAGTGCGAACTTTCTATGATTTTATTAACACTTCATCTTGGTTAGAAATTGTTTTATTCTCATTATTCTCATTTTTAATCCAAACCCCTTGTTCAGCCCATGAAGGAAATCAAAGACACCTCCATCTGTTAAAAAAAAAAAAGAAAAACACCTCAATCTGGAAAAAAAAAAGACACCTCCATCTGAAAAAAAAAAGAAACCTCCATCTGAAGCATTTGGGTATATCTCAATCTATTTTAGAGCAAATTAAATTGGTTTTATTATACATATCAGCTGTTTGACATAGTTTAGTTAGAATTTTAAACGATTCATTTACCATCATAACTCCTTGGGCATGTATTCTCAAGGGCAGATTGAATCTCAACGCTCCTGCCATATGCTTGAAAGTAGAATATATTCATTGCAACATATCCTAAATTTACTATGTAGTTTTATGAGAGGCTTACAAGAAATCTGCTATTTTGTACTATAAAAGATATAGTTTAAATAAAATGTTTTGAGGATGAAAATTTAAAAATTATTTTTCTCATATGAGGATATTCATAGGGTGGTGAGATTATTTGATAAATTTTTTAATGAAAATTGTGAAAATACGATTAATTTTAATGAACTAAATTTTGTAAATAATAACAAAACTTTTTATTTCTACCATTGCATTAGTAAAACAAAAGTTGATTAGGTTTTATAGAAAATGAAGGGGAAAAATAGATAAAAACATGAAAATATTTAGGAGAGAAAAAATTTTCTTGGCTTACTAAACTTTTAAATATTATTTTTAAAACTAAAAGATACGTGATTAGTACAAAAAGAGTATATTTGTTCCTAGTTTTTAGAGTAAAGGGAATGAACAAGGCTATGTAAATTATAGAAGAATTAATTTATTGTCTCATTCACTAAAGTTTTGGGAGAGAGTAATTGAATGTAGGTTTTGACGTGACATAAAAATGTCTTAAAATATGTATATTCATGTAGCACAAGTCTAATATTGAAGCTATGCATTATTGAGAGATTTGATGGAGAAGTACAAAGAGAGTAAGGATAATCTACTTATGATTTTTGTTCATTTAGAAAAAGCTTATGATAAGGTTCCAAGAAAGTACTTTGGAGAATTCTAGAGAAGAAATATATTGATATTGCTTATATTCAGGCCATTAAAGATGTGTTGCTATAGCAAATACTTGTGTTCTTATATAAGGAGGATTGACTGAGTATTGTCCTATTTCAGTTGGATTACGTCAGGGATCGAATTTAAGCTCATCCTTTTACTTTAGTTATGGATGTTCTTACTGGACATTTACAAGAGATTTTACCTTGGTGCATGCTTTTCACTCATGCTCTCCTACTTATGGATGAGACTAGAGAGAGAGTTTAGGAAAAAAACTCGAATTATGGAGGTCAAATTTAGAGCTAAAGACTTTCGTATGGGTAGATCAAAAATTGAATATATGTAATGTAATTTTAGTAGTAGTAGATCTAGCAGTGAGGTTGTAACAATGGGTGATCAAGTAATTAAAAGGAGTGAAAGTTTAGATATCTTTGGTCCATTGTTCAAAGTGATGCTATTATAGATGGGGATGTTAGTAGAATTCAAGTTGGATGGATGAAGTGGAGGAATGCATTAGTGACACGGGTAGCGAGAGGGAGCTGGCTCTAGGCCGGTTTGGCTAAAAATTCTTGAGAGCCGAAAGACTTTTTTTCCTTGGATTTGTCACCCAATTGGAATGAGACCCACTCTTAATTTTCTTCTTGTTATATATTTGTATTTTTGTTGTTATACAATTAGTTATTTGGGCGTTTTATATTGGGACAGTCGTCGATATCTCTTCTTCCCTTCGAAGACTGTATCTTATGGTTCCAGTTATCTTAGTTTCCAGGTGGTGATTATCTTCCCTAGCCCTTCCCACATCTCTCTCACTTTGTTGCCACACCTTCTCGCTGCAGCCGCCTTGACATTAATGCTTTTGCTGTTCTTTCTGCAGTTCCTTGTCGTCGCCATTCTCTCGCTGCCACAACACGAGGACAGTCCTCCTTTGGCTGTTCCACAGTCCCATGCTTTCCCTGTCGTCATGGTTGCTTGACGTCGCCACTCCGAAACAACATTTCCTGCTACTGTGCCAGCCAACCGGGCTAACTGTTTCTTTCATTCAGTACGCTGCCATTGCCACAAGTCCTCCGTTTTCGGCCAGCGTCCTTCTCCCTTATTGCCGCAACCCAGGATCGTTCTTTCCAACCGATTCGCTTCTGTCCGACCCCTCCCCTCCTCTTTGCTGTCGCCACCCTTCCAGATCTCCTTTTGCTGCTCCAACCACCCACAACCCATTTTAGCCACTTGCACCCGCTCCCTGACCACTTAGCTAACCTCTATCACCTATGGATCACCTACTGTGAATTTGTGTCGTTTTTGTTATAATTTTCCCTTTCAAATGTGTTTGATTATAACCACTTTTTTGCTTTTAATAAGAATATTTGCTTTCTCTATTGTAGGTTGGGTTAGCTTCGATATCAATTAGGCCTAGTGTGTGATAGAAAAGTACTGCTTAGAATTAAAAAAAAAAAAAATTATAAGATGGTGTTGAGACTTGTAATGCTTTATGATGCAGAATGTTGTCCAGTAAAAGTGAAGCATAAAATTAAGTTTGGCTGAGATGAGAATGCGGAGGTGGATGAGTGGCTTTACACTTAGATACAAAAGGCGAATCAAATATATCTTTGAAAGGGTTGGAGTAGCTCCATGACAGATAAGATTAGAGAGAGTTACTTTTGCAGGTTTGGTCACATTAAATGTCGACCATCTGATGACCTGATTAAGAGAGATGTTTTAAATTTGACTTGTGTTAAAAAAGGTATAGGTAGATCTGAAAAGACTTGGGAAGATTGTTTAAGAAATGATCTCAATTTATTAGAGTTAAATGAAAATTTGGCACCCAATAGGACACAATTGAGAGAAATGATTCATTTAGCCAACCCCACTTAATGGGATAAAGACTTTTCACTGTCGTCATGTTTATTTTGGCCATGAAGAACTAGTGGGATTAAAATTTGCTCAAATGCAATTAAAATTGAAAAGAAAAAAATGATTTTTTTTCTTCATGATTTCTTTAGTCATATCTGCGAAGTGCAAGTTTCATATTACAATTGTTTCTCAATGTATAATATTAAATACAGGAGAATTACAATCTAATTAGCCAATAACAATAAAGATACTAATAACCAATTGAATGGGAAAGATCCTAATTCATTTTTTGCTAAATTGAGATTTTATTCGAATGCATTACTCATAGGATTTAATTCTCATTTTTTTCATGTTATATTTAATGCAAAGTTTCACTGGCGATGCCAAAAGGCATGTGGCTTTTTTTTTTTTTTAAATTTGAGGAAAAAAATAGGGGTTTTACAACTAGCTTTGATTGCTTTGTTATGTATTCATTCTACCAATTTGAGGATTGAAATAATTTTTGTTTGGTTTTATTATCTCTTTTTTTAAATCATGTGATGTGCAAATGTTAAATCTAACTTTGGGTGTTGGATATGTATATTAAATACATAAGAATTATGTGGTATTTATGTAAATTTCCTTATTCATTAATAAAGGGCAAGCACTTGATAATTGATGGTCACTGAAAATAAGTCTGGTCTGTTCTTTAGCAAGTTGGTGCATTATAGCTTGTTAAGAAAGCAATTGTTCAACTATGCTTGTTGTCCATTTAATGCAGAGTCAATAGTTGGAGGTCTTATAACTTCTCTGGTTAAATAACAATAAAAAAACTTGGGAAATTTACATACATAGTACTTAGTTCTTATTTATTTACATATCTCACAATAAAACTTTCATAATTACATAGCATGAAAATGTGTAATTCACTTTTAAAAAGTGATAATAGTGCTAGTTCTGATTTTATATTAAATATTTGAGTGCTATGTGTGTAAATATGAAAGTTTAGGCATGAGAGATGCAAATAATATGTAAATACATGAGAATTGTGTGATTCTTATCTAAATGCCCAAAAAAGTTTTGTTTGTCGTAGTTGTACTTATTTTCTATGCTTGACATCAGCTGTATCTTCTAACAGATATTTCTTCTGAGGAGGTATCAAAATTTGCTATGAACTTCAGTGCAACAAGCAGTTGTGTTGTGAAGATAGTTGAGCATCAAGCACGTGCAACAATAGAAAACTTGAAGGCTGTTGTATCAAAAGTTAAAGCCTTGGAGGATGAGAAGAGAATTCCTCCTTGGGAAGATGAGCACGTCCCTGAAGAAATTGTTCTTGAGAAGCCAAGTCCGGGGTAATTCTTCTTCACTTTTGTATCTATAATTAGGACATTTGCATACATACCGCCCAATTCTTATGTATTTACTTATCTAACATGTAAACTTTGATTTTTACATCTATACCACTCAAATCTTTCTCATCACATAAAATTTACCACTATTTTAGCTTAAAAAATGTGAAATACACCCTTTCATGCATAGCTAAGGTCGCTTGTTTGTAGAAATTAAAGTTCCGGTGTTAGATGTAAGAATTAAGTGGTATGCATGCAAATCTTCCTTATAATTATTTGAGTTTATTTTACAAAATTTGTAGGCATCTTCTAACACTCTTCTTCTGTTAGAAACAAAATCAATGTTACACTTGATTCTCTTTCTTTCTTCACATGGAAGCTATTCTGACAAAGAAGAGAATTTGTGTCATTAAATTCTTGTTCTATTAGCCATTTTTGTTGATTAATAGTTTCACGTGGCTATTTCTATTTGATTCCATCGACTAGCATTCATTTCATATTAATTTAATGCCAAAGTTTAAAATTTTGATGTTGATGGATTAAGTACTATTTGGAACCATTGACATAAGCAAGTAGCTTGTTATTTATTCCGTTAATTGATTATGAAGTAAATAATACATGGGGAAAAAGTATTTAAAAAATTTCCTCCTGCGCATCATTTTTTAATGTCATCTTGCTTTTATTGCGATGCTGTGAAGCTTGATTCGTTATTCATAATCTCAGAGGCTGTTTGGGTTCACTTTTGATTTTTGATTTTTGTTTTCCTTAATTTTTTTTTTTTGCTTATGTTTTGATTTAAAGCAAAACATGTTTGGTATGGTATAACATATTTATTTTGTTTTTGAGGACACTCAAAACAAATTTTAGATGTTTCAAGGGCTTTTAGAAATAAATGAATTTATTTGAAAAAAGTGCAAAAATGCACTAATCAAACATATATTTAACATAAAAACAAAAAGAAAAAAAAGGACAAGAAAGTGATCCCAAACAAGCACTTAATTTTAGGATATCCTGCAGTGTTTAAGAAATTCATGGTTAATGCTAAAAAATAAGAAATGATTGGCTTTGGCCTGAATTATGACAACTACTGCAGTTTACTTTTTGTAAGAATGAATTACAAAAATAAACTCTTGCTAACTGTTTAGTTAATCTCTTAGATTTTTGTACTGTTTAACTAAACTTCGCATGCTTCTTCTGTGGTTCATTTTACAATGTATGATTGCACTTTTATAGGCCATTAGAAAATGGTAACATCACATGATAAAGCTATGCTGGAAAAAAAAAGAAGAAAAAAAAATGAAGATCTTAGTGTCTTCTTTTGTAGATTTGCCCATATTTCTTACTCAGGCTTTGTTGGGCTATGCATGTTAAACGTGAATGATGAATGCATGAGTATAGATTCCTCATTCCTATAGAAGCTAAACAGGCTGTCACTCTTTTGTTACACTCAGCAGTCATCATTGCATTTTTTTTGGGGGAATATTTACAAACATACCACTCATTCCGATTTATTTACATATCTAACACCTAAACTTCAATTTTTACCTACATGCGACCTTATCTATGCATGAAAAGGTGTATTTGACTTTTTAAAAGTTAAAATGGTGGTAGTTTTGATGTGATATGAATGTTTTGGGTGGTATAAATGTAAAAAGTAAATTTTGGTGTTAGATATTTAAATGCTTGGGAATTTGTTGGTATGTACGTAAATGCTTTTTTTTTTGGATGAGGTGGGGAGGGGGGTAGATATGATCTCCTGTTTGGCCTACACCGAATCGTTCTAACTGAAATTCATCTTGTTGTTACATTATTGACCAGTATTGTTACTTGTTGATTAATGGAGCAAATTGGAATCCCTGCTGCAGGAGAATTATAGAGAAGTCAGCTTTCCCTGACATTGGTGCCACTGAGTTGCTATTATCAAATGGTATGAGGGTTTGCTACAAGTACACTGATTTTCTTGACGATCAGGTAAGAATTGAACCTGTAAACTTGTCATTCCTAGGACTAGCCAAGGAAAAAGGTAGATAGTCTTATGATCCATACTTAGTTTAAGCTTCGACTATTCTAGGCGGAGCAAGTTACTGTCATACTTGTGTAATTATTATTCATAAAATGTGGTAGGTAGCGTTTAGTGTGGAAGACTTCAATTTTTGATAATCTCATTTTCTTCCTTGCTCTTTTTTAAGGCAATTTATAATAATGCAATCAAGCTAGCTTCAGTTACCTTTACTTTTATGCTGGATATGCCTCTTTCTTTCCACAAATCACATCTGCTAAATCAAAGATTGCATTAACTTCCAAATGGCTTGGTTGGCACCCATCCTTCCAAGAAATAGTTTATTTCTCCTTGTTTTTAATTATGAGTCTATATATTGCTGATCTTATTTCACTAATAACTGATTAATTAAAGAATTATTGTTGCTTCCATGGAATTAAAGGGGATAATGCAGTGAATTATTCTTTAGAAGTTTTTTGGTGACTGCTTACTTTGTTATGTTATATTTCTCCTAAAACCCTATCAAAGAAAACCCTAATCTACTTCCTTTTCCTTGCCTCATCACCATTCATTTGGCGTTGAATCCCCTATTCCCTACTTGTGCTCCCCCTTCTCTCAATAAGCCAATTCCTTTTTAATTTGATGGCCACTCTTCCACATGCGAACAGATCAAATTCTTAATAGGCTCTGCGTACCACTAAAATTCCTTACTGAGCCCATTTGCTCTCCATAATATCTCGACTACCCCCAAAGGACCCATTTCCAAGCCTATTTTCTCTTTCATAAGCCCAAAATAATTCGCTCCAAACCTACTTCCGATCAACCCTCAAGATCCCAAGAAACACTAACTCTAGCCTAATTCGGCTAACTTTAATACACTAACCGTTTCTCTTCCATAATAATAGAAGGCAACTATCAACATGCTTTAAATATTCTCACACATCTTCTACCATTATCTTAGTATTAGAGCTAATGCATCAAGGATCTTGCCAAAGCATTTTTTGTGAAGCGCCAAAAAAAAAAAAAAGAAAGAAGAAAAAAAAAAGACGCCAATAATTAATAGTGACTGTCATCTATAATTGGTGATTTGCTTTCCAAGGTTGTGTAGCAACTAAACTACGCTAGTTATTAATTTTTATTATTTATAATGTATTTAATTCAAAGAAATTTATAATTACTTCACTTAATGTGGCTATTTGCATGCCCTCGCAAATAATGAAACACTACATAATGTCTACCCATTTTACTTTGTAAGAAACCCTTCACAACTATATTTACTTAAAAATTTTATTAATGCTAGGAAGTGTTCTACTTTTAAAAAAATCTTGTAAATATATTAAATAATGAATTGATAAGAACTTGAAATTATTGTGTTATTGTTAATTTTGTTTATTATTTTAGACACATGTTGGCTATGTTTAATATTTATTTTTAATCAATTGCATAAAGTCTCAATTCTTTTGAGACATCTTGCATATTTCATTAATCAACACACATTAGACATTTTTTCAAAGAAATTCAATTTTACTTATATATATAATCATGGCTCCAAAACTTATGCCCTTATATTTTTTTAAAAGATTCCAATAAAAAATATAGAAATTTAACTTTTAGGGTTAATAGAGTATATGATAAATTACAATTTATGTTTACATGATGGAATACTCAAGAAACCTTTTGCACCAACTTATAGTTAGTTTAAAAGTCCACCACTTACTAACATAAAACATGGCTTTCGATAATTGCTGGAAGTGTTAATAAATGACTTGACATAATAAATTCACACAGACCCGACCACAACAATTCGAGTTTGGGTTGACTCAGTTAATTTTTGGGTTTGGTTTGGGTCTAGAAACTTGATTGTTTTAATTTTTTACAAATTTGGGTTGGTATAAATTCTCGAATTTAATCCGAGCTTAACCCAAATTTGATTCATCGGGCTCGAGTTAACCTAATATCCATGAATTGAAAATGTATTTTCTAATCTAGACTCGGATGTTATGACTTATGTTAAAGGTGTCATTCGACCATGTTTTGGGTAGTAGAGTTGTAGGCAATGTGGGTTCCGGTCATGTAAGCTCGGGTCATGTCAAATTTGGGTCAAACTAGAGCACGACCATTCACTCACTTTGACACCCTATGATTCATAGATAATAGAATACTACTTTTTTAAAGACATCAAATTAGATATGGCTAATGATCTTTAGAACTGATGATACTTGAGGTAGTGAAATTAAGTAGAACACTTGTCTTTTTTCCTTTTTAAATAAATAGATTGTCTTAAACCAAAAAAAAAAAGAATATTTTAATTGTTATTGGTTGGATGTTAATGAGTAGGTTAATTTAGTTTTTATGAAATTAATGGGACATGCAAAAATTTACTAGAATAACATTATTATAGTAAGTAAAAAATATTAGTGCAATTATTATTTGAGGAAAAGTAAGGAAAATGCTAATAAAAAAATATTACCCAATTCATTATAACAAGAAATTTGATAAATTATGAACTTTAAGACATGGTAATATACAAGTTAGGATTTGAACGCTTTTGAAGATTTCATTACATGAACTTACTACAATAGTAATAATTGACAAATAGTAAACGAATTATAATTTAGTTAAGACATAAAATTTGAAATGAGGTTGAACTTTCAGATCAACTCTTGAAGATGCTTTTCATTATAATTTACATTTTGAAACAAAAGTTGTTTAGGATCATCTACTTATATTTCAGACCACCAACTAACATTCAACCAACCTACGGACACATATCCCAGCCTCGCTATCGGCTGTCCCGCTTCGCCCTAGCCGGAGATTTGTGCTGCGTTGTATTGTATTTCCTTCTCTGTTTGGGTCTTGATTGTACCCTGTTTGTTTTAAGTAATAATATTTGATTTCCGTATCACGGTTTGGGTCTACTCCTATATCATCATTGTAAGGTTCAAATTTTATTCCTTAAATATGACAGCCTTGAACTAGATTTTTATGATGATACACCTATTTTCAATGAGGTACTTCAATATGATGAAGATACTCACTCATGTTTTATGATATTTTTATTTGTAAGTAAACATGACTATGAGAACTAGAGTTGAAATATCTTTAGTACGCATACTTCTTGTAATGTTAAAATGTTTATATTAGTCATTCATTGATGCAATGGCATGAATTTCATTTGAACTCGTCTTAAATAGAGCTAATCTGAAACTTAAATATTATCCTAAACTATTCCATGTAAGTTGGGTCAATTATACATCCTTGTCGCCACCAAATATTTAATTTCCATTAAATTAGGCAGTTAAGAGGACAAGGCATGGTTTACTATTGTGTCTATGGACATGGTTTATATTTTACTGGACAACTTTGGCTATGTGACATTGAAATGATTCATTATGATCATGATAATATTCATGTTTTAAAATATAAAGATAACACTACTAAAAAATTCCTTATCCAACAAATTGAAGAAGCCCCTCTAGCTTCCCATAAATCAAACTCTGAGGTTAAGCCTACACCATACCAAAAGAAAATGCAAAATTACCACTGTTTTTAGTTTCCTTTCCACACCTTCTTTATCCCATAGCGCAAGCCTCTTAAACAGCTCATCTTAAGAATCTATCTTATCCATACTTGCTTTTGATTATGACATTCACAAACTTAAAACTTAAAAATGAAATTTTCTAATGTATTTTCCCTTCACTTACCTTATTGTTAAGGAAGTAGCGCATACCTCTCTTCAGGGCCCAAAGCCCTGTAGAAAAATCTCCATTCTTATACTCGAGGAGTTACTAATTAACACCCATTCATGCAGAGATCTAGCATTCATTTGGATTCTACCTTCCTAATCTATCCGACTATAAAGGAATCCCCTTAAGAATGCGAAGCTTAAAGGGCTAGTTGATCTACTTAGGTAGAAATTCTTGCTAGGAAGCTGGAAGTCCATAAGCTATCCCTGCTTCACAAACTCCCAGGAAAGATGGTTCTTGGTGGATGTTTAGATAATAGAACAATAAATAAGATCTTCATATATAGATTCAGTATTTCGAGATTGAATGGTATGTTGAATTTAGTTTTTGAAATGTGTTATTTCTCTTTGATTAATTAAATGAATGATTTCAGTCAAGTTAGTATAGGACTAGGAAACGTGTGACAGATGACTTTTAAAATTTTTTATGGTTTATATGAATATCCTAGAACATTCATTAGATTGATGAAAATGGGTTTACAATTTTTTATTGAAAATTTTGCATTACATTTTGGTGATATTTTGATTATTGATGCTTGGAAACTATCGGAACATTTGTAATTGATTAAGCCTATTTTAAGAGAAGGGAAATTATAAAAATCATATTTTTAGATTTGTAGTTTTTGATGGATTTCAAGTTGATCCCGGCTAAATTTATGCAATTATTGATTGACCAACACTAAAAGAATTTTTTGAAGTTAAATATTTTTATTCTTACCACATTTTATTGGAGATTCATTTAAAATTTCAGTTAACATTATGACCATAACAGATATTTTGAAGAAAGATTTATTTTTATAAATACTTACTATTGATAAGGTATTTTCACCAATTGAAATTTTAATAACATTCTCATAAGATTGAGACTATTGGATGTTCTGAAATTTTTGTGGTCCTTATGGGGCAAGTGATGCATATATTGGAGATCTTCTTAACTAGGGAGATTTTCTATAGCCTTTTTAGTGAAGTTTAAATGAAGAAAAACAAAGATATTCTATGATGATCTGCATTTTTAGGTCATTATTCATTCTTTGCAATAATGGAGACTACTAATTTAATAAGGAACTTATTTTACATTTGGAGATAATGTTCTTAAATTTGTCAACACTTAAAAGGAAATTAAATATTGGCATGCCAGATGGGTGTGATTTTATACTTTTTTTTTAATTGTTGGAACACACTATGGATTGAATGTAAGTTGTTGATTCCTTGACCAGTATTTTAGTA